ATTACAACCACGGGTGGCGCCACGTACTGATTCATTTTGTCATCTGTAGGAATCTTCACTTACATGGTTACTAAGTATTCAATGCTGGGACTCACTGGGGTATAGAGATAACTAGACAACAGTCTTTGCCCTTGAATAGGTTATAGTGTGCTTGACGCTCTCGGTCAGCAAGCACAGCAAGTAAGCTTTACCTGAATAAAAGTATGCCCTGGGGAACTCCGCAGTACAGATAAAGATGTCCCCAACTCTGCTGTATGGCCAGGAAAGCTTCACAGGGAGACTTAGGGCCAGGCCAAGCCATAAAACACACCATGAAGGAAGTATCATACACATTGGTTCAACAAGCACTTAGGATGAAAGAAAGCACAGTGTCCTTGGCATTGCGGTGCTAGTCATGCCATTAACCAGGAACAGGACTCAGAAGAAAGAACATCAATTTTGGAAGGCAAGATTTTAAAACAGGAATTTGAGTTAAAGACTATGAACTCAATTTTGAATGCTTGTTTTAGGTGGCTTAATAAACCCCATCTTAGTGGAGATGTCAGGGAAGCAGCTGCATCTTCACATCCAGTACTGGCCGCAGATGGTTTAGGCTGGAGACCTAGATGGGGTAGTTGTCAATGACTAAGTGGAACTGAGAGTCATGGGTGATACTACCCAGAGAAAAGAAAAAGATGCACCATCCCCATAGAACAGGGAGAAACTACCATACAGTGTCATATTGCCTGCATAAACCTACCGAGCTACAATGCAAGGTCACAAAAGAGGTCCCAGCCTTCCTTACCTGCTTTCCTTTAAGAAAGACCATTCCCTTCGCTTTGGAATCAATCTCTTCACCCAGTTGCTCTTTAAGTTCTTTCCAAGCATAACTAATGTTAGGCATTTCAATTGAGCACTTCAAGATCATGGTCACAAAGCCCTATAGAAGAAACGGGAACAAAATTCCAGTCTCAAAAACAACTGAAAAACAACTGCTCTCGTGTTTCCAAAATACTTCTGGAAAAGTTCTCCCTAAAAGGATATTCCACCGCACACACCATACAAGTAAGTACAAGAAAAACTGAAGAACTCTGAATGAGACTGGCGGACTGTGCCAATGTCAGTCAATAATCTAGTTGTGATATTACACAGTTTTGTAAACTGTTACCATGGAGGGGAAACGGGCAAAGTGTACAGGGATCTCACTACATTTTATCTCTCACAACAAAATGTGAACCTATCATCTCAAAATAAAAGCATACACCTTCTAAACTTTCTAGGTATGCTGAATGAATTATATTTGTACGTGTGCATATATTTTAAACTTTAAAACTTGAGATGTAATTCACATAACCACAAAATTCACCATTTTCAAGTGTACCATTCAGGGGTTTTTAGTATGTTCACAAAGTCTGCAACCATCAAGACTATCTAAAATCCCAGAACATTTCATCACCCTAAATAGAATCCCCATGCCCATTAGCAGTCACTGCCATTTTCGCCCTTTTCTGGTACACTGGCAACCACTAATATACTTTATGTCTCCATGGATTTGTTTATACATGGATTGGAGAGAGAAAAACATCGATTTGTTGTGCTACTTACTTATGCTTTCGTTGGATGATTCTTTTATGTGCCCTGACCAGGGATCAAACCTGCAACCGTGGTGTATTGGGACAACACTCTAACCAACTGAGGTACCTGGCCAAGACCGAAACATCAAAAATGGGATAGGGACCCTTACCACATCTGAGTTGATCAAGGAGCGCTGGTCTACAGATGTGGCACCTGAAATATGGGCCAGAGCTGCCGCGAGGGCTTCCACAGCCCCCTTCTCCTCTATCAGTTTCTCAGCGGATTGCTTAAAGTGACTAATAGCAGTGGGAGGAACAGAATCCAAAAGCCTATGGTTTGATTGAGAATATATTTGTTAGGACAAGGGCAGCAGAAGTAGACAGATTTCATTTTCAAGAAAACAACAACATCTCAAGATAAATCAGTGCTAATATCCAGCATTTCTTTTGAACATGAACTCCCCCTGTAGATTTTTTAAAAATAAGTATGTCACACATTTATAAGTAATTGTGGAAAGCACTCTAAAAATGATGCTCAGACTCTGGTCCTAAGCAGGGGATATCTGGAAAACAAGACAGTTTTGGTTTTCATGCCAATCCCACTTACCCCCAGGAATATATACTGAACAGCTGGGATGCTAAACAAATGTCCTTCAATTTGTAGGACAATCCCACACAATAAAAAATTTCTTGCCCTCAATGACAGAAGCACTTCCAATAACAAACACTGTTAATCTATCCTATCTAAATATTTACTATAACTAAAATAATTAATTCTTATTCCTACCAGGTGGAGACTGGATTAATGAAGACTTGGAATATAATCTGTGATCCAATCTAATTAGTCTCCAGATGGGAAGCACCTACACCATACATAAGATATATTTCCTTAAACTGCTTAAGACAAACCAAACTATTTTTTTCCCCTCAGCCAAGGACATTTTTCTTATTGCTTTTTAGAGAGAGAAAGGAGACAGGGAAACATCAATACAAAAAACACTGACCAGGGTTTACACAAACCTGCACCTAAACTGGGGACTGAACCTGTAATTTAGGCATGTGCCCTGTGCAGGAATTGAACCCTAACCCCTTCAGTTATGGACAACGCTCCAACCACCTGAGCCACAGTAGCCAGGGCAAACCAAATCATTAAACAATGGTTTCCACCAATGAACAGGATTTGGCACAGATGAGTAGAAAAAGGATTTCTATTTTACATAATTTTGTTTCAGCACATCTGAGTTTTTATAACAACAGGATTATAAATTGTTAAAAATAATGAATAAGGCCCTGGTTGGTGTGGCTCAGTGGACTGAGTGCTGACCTGTGGACCTACAAGTTGCCCATTATTCCTGGTCAGGGCACATGCCTGGGTTGCAGGCCAGGTCCCCAGTAGGGGGCATGTGAGAGGCAACCAATAGATATTTCTCTCTCTCATCAATGTTTCTCTCCCTCTTTCTCCATCGTTCCCCCTCTTTCTGAAAATAAAGTATTTTTTAAAATAATGAATAAAGAAAATTTATTTTCAAAGGCTCGATCTCATTACTGCGCACAGACATGCAGCAAAGAGAGCAAGCACTAAAACAGACTACAGCAGTGGTAGGAAACATACCTGATGGCATCTTTGCTGGAAGCTTTTATTATCTCTGTTGCAGAAGGAACACCTATTCGTTTAAATTTAATTCCCTACAAGAAAATGAATCATAGTTCAATGTACAACGAGGTCATTAACTGTTTCCATTGAGCTTAGTAATTTTTTTATATTTACCAAAAAGTTATTATTTATTTGTAAGATAAACTTTTGAGAATGGTTTTAGATTTATAGAGAGTTCCTATATACCATACATCAAGTTTTCTTACTGTTATTACTGTGTTATGTTTGTCATTACTAAGAAACCCAACTGCTCCTGTACTATTAACTGAACTCCAGATTTCATCTGAATTTTACTAGTTTTTCTACTAATATCCCTTCTCTGTTCCAACAGCCCATCCAGGATGCTACGTTACATCGACTGATCATGTCTTCTTGGTCTCCTCTAATCTGTGACAGTCTGTCTTTCCTTGTTTTTTATGACCTGGGCAGTTTTAAGGAGTCCTGGTCAGATACTTTGTAGACTGTCCCTCAATTTGGCTGTCTGTCTTTACATGCTTAGACTAGGGTCATGGGTTTTGGGGAAGAAGACCAGAGGTCAATGCCACCTCAGAATTCCTAACAGGGGTACATGCTTATCACTGATGATCGCCCAGCCAGGCAGCGTCTGCCTGCTTTCTGCACTGTCAAGTCTCCCCTGCCTCACCATTCCTACTAGTCTCTGGAAGTCAGTCACTAAGTGCAGTCTGCTCAACAAGGAGGGGAATGAAACTCCACCTCCTGAAGACTAAGTACCTAGAATTTCCTTACAGGAGAATTCCTATAACTCCCTCATCTATGCTTAAGTATTTCTGATGTGTTCATGTTATCATTGAGAACTGCCTTTCTAACATAAAACACCCTTTATGATTGTAAATATGAAAACAAAAGCACTGCTTTCAAATGCAAAATTGTTTCAAAATGGGTTTTATATTATAGAACAATATATAAAACATGTATCTAACAACAAGCTTTCAGTCATGGTCACATGCTGGAAATGATAATTTCAAGTTAATAAAAATTAAATAAAGAAACCAAAGACAGACTTTAGAACTCAACATCTGCTGAATAAGGCTAAGAAAATAGTTTTACCGCTTTTTGCTCCACTTGTGCTAACTGATATTCTTCCTTGTGCTGATAGAAGCAGATGCAAATCCCAGTCCTTCCAGCTCTACCCGTTCGCCCAGAACGATGAATGTAAGACTCCACGTCCTATTAAAGTAAAATTTGAGTGACATGAACAAAAGGAGACAAAGACCCGAGCAGTCTACACAGAGTGGTGGTAATATGCAGGGGTGTGAGGGGAAGTTCTTGAACATTTTGATTTAAATGATGGTATTGTGACAATTTTCCAAAACCTCTAGAAAGATGGTCCCTAGGCCTGTAGGCAAATCTACACAAAGCATCGTCTAAACAGTGCCATCCAAAAGAACCACAATATGTCATTTCAATCTATAATTTCTTATAACCACATTAAAAAGAAATAAAAAAGGTTAATTTTATTATTTAACTCAACATACTAAAACTTTTATCACTTCAATATGTTATCTATTTAAAACGATGTATCAAATGAGGTATTTTGCATTCTTTTTTCATGTCATCAAAATCCAGTGTATATAATAGAAAGTTTAAAATAAAAGACATTTCAATGAGTGTTTTCTGTTTCTGGTACACATCAATTCAGACTAGCTGCATTTCAAGTGTTCAACAGCTACACGTGGCTGTGGCTGTCATATAGGACAGATAGGTGTGCAGGTTCATTTAAACAATGTCTGTGCCACACAGGGGACTTCCTTTATTAAGAATTGGTGATTTCAGTGTTGTATGAAAGGAGAGAAGGTTAGCACTCCCCTTGACAAGGATGGAAGAGGCCCTCGGGCCTAACAACACACATACGGTTAAGGCATTGCCACCACTGATTTCGTAGCATCTAACCACTGTTTTTAAGAAACCAACAAAGACAAGAGGAAAGGAGGGAGGGGTGGGCGGGGGGCGGGGGAAGGAAGGGAAGGGGCAAGTCAAGGAACATATAGCAAGGACTCATGGACAAAGTCAAAGTGGGGAAGGATTGAGGGTGGGAGAGGGAGGGGGGCAGGGGAAAGCGGAGACAAATGTATTTGGAAAAATAAATAAATAAATATAAAAAAAAGAATTGATGATTTCATAGTTAACAGGTATTTTTTTCCATCAATGTAAACAACATTTAATCCCAATAGGTTTGCCAATTTGGGGAAAAGTTATAGGGTATTCACACTTGAAGTGATACAAACAGCCTCCTTCAGACCAACTTTTATTTATGAGAAAAGTACTGTCCACACCACATGAACTATGCTTCAGGGCCCTCCCTGAGAGGTTCCCTTCCCATCTCCCACAAACCCTAGCAGTTTTAACCACAAAAGCTGTTACCTACAGGCCTTTTCTCCCTTCTCTCTCTCGCCGGCCTCCTGAGTTTATCCCTCCTACCTCCACCCCATCTAAGTCATACCCATGTTCAAAGTCCAGTTCGAAAGTGCACTACCTCCACAAAGGCTTCCAGGGCTCACCCTCTAACCAGAAATTATCTCTCCAACCTCTGACATGTGATCACACTTGCACTCAACTGCCAGGTCTGAGGGGAGGGCCTCACAATAAATTTTAAAACCATCCCAGCACTCAACAAACCGCTATTATTAATCACATGAAAGTAAACAATGCAACTTCCATTTTGCATTGTTTCTTCCAAAAGAAACAACAAAACACTTACCTTTGGTGGAGAACTTTGTACAACCAGATCAACCTCAGGGATGTCTAACCCTCGCGCAGCAACGTTGGTTGCAACCAAAACTCCAAAATCACCATTTCTAAAACCTTTCAGGGTGATTTCCCTTTGCTTCTGTGGAATGTCTCCATGTAATGACTGGGCATCCTGCCAAAGAAATAAACTAGCTTAAAAATAGCAGATCCAACAATAGGGGTACTTCACCAAAGAGGCCTATAGAAGACATTTATATCTTGGTGATACTTCTGTTGAAAATATTACCAAGGGGAAGGAAAATATGTGTGTTCCATGGACAAGCCTCAAACCTATTTCCAATCCTTGGTCATTATTAAATCAACTATTCCCAACTATACTTACAAGGTACACAGAACACCAGATAAATGATCAAATCTCGCCCTGGCTGGGTAGCTCAGTTGGTTGAAGTATGAACCTGATGTACCAAGGTTGCAGATTTGATCCCCAGTCAGGCCATGGACAAGAAGCAACCAATAAATCATAAATAAATGGAACAACAAATCAATGTTTTGCTCTCAAACCAACCAATCAATCAATAAGCAATACTCTAAAAAAAAAGTTGCCCAGGCCACATAGCTCAGTTGGTTAGAGCATCATCCCAATATGCCAAGGTTGCAAATTCAATCCCTAGTCAGGGCACATATGAGAATCAACCAATAAATAGATAAATCAGTGGAACAACAAATCAATGTTTCTTTCTCTCTCCCTCCCCCTTGCTCTTTTAAAAATCAACAGAAAAAAATTTTTTTTAATTGTTTCAATGGTTATGATGGTCGAACTTATTTTTTAAAAAAATGATCAAATCTATGTTGCTGATATAACCTTGGGTTTGAGTCACCTTTTCCTCATCTCTGAAATGAGACTGACAGATTAGGTGAGCTCTAACATGTATACTTTATCAATTAAAAGATGCTTTCTCCCTCCCCTGACCAGGAAGCTCAGTTGGTTAGTGTCATCCCGATGTGCCAAGGTTGCGGGTTCGACACCTGATCAGGGCACATACAAGAGTCAACCAATGAATGAATATAGAAGTGGAACAACAAATCAATGTTTCTCTCTTTCAAAAAATCAACAAATAGGGGGGAGGCAGAGACAAATGTATTTAAAAATAAAGAAAGAAAGAAAAAAAAATCAACAAATAAAATTAAAAAAAAAAAAAAGATGCTTCCTCCTTCAAGGAAAGGGAGAGGAAGGACCCACCAGCTTTATGGACCCATTCTGAGACAATTCCTGGGCTTCTTTCTTCGTTTCACAGAAGATGATGGTGCGCCCATGAAAACCACTGTACACTCGGATCACATCCCCAATAACTGCTGCTCTCTGGGTCCAGTGGCACTTGATAGCCAGATGCTTAAAAGAGAGGGGAGTAAAAGATCAATTTCACAAAGCTCCACTAGAACCCGGTATGACTTGCTCGCCACTAATGATACTACAAGTAGTTGTTTAAGGTGGCCTAGAGCAGACTACACTACCAACGTTTAGCGAAAAAAATAAACCATGAAAGCAGAGAGCCTTTTCCCTTTCTCCAAAGGGCATGTGACTTCTTTATTTTTCTGACCTAATCATGAAAATATAGGAAAAGAAAGATCATTCAGATTCCTACAGGAAACCAAAGAACTGACAAGAGAAAAGTTTCTGGATGTTTTGTCCTTTCATCCTCTTAAAAATGCAATCAGGCCCTAGCCAGGTGGCTCAGTTGGTTGGAGCATCGTCCTGTATACCAAAAAGGTTGCAGGTTCAATCCTTGTCCGGGCACATGCAGGAGGCAACTGATCGATGTTCCTCTCTCACAATGATGTTTTCTCGCGCTCTCTCAAATCAATAAGCACATCCTCAGGTGAGGATGTTTTTAAAAATGCAATCAGTAGTCAGTTAGTACATGTCTACTTTGTGGGTGCAATGAATTTGTGTAGGTACCACACCCTAAGATGAAAAACTACTTGAACACAAAGCACCAGATTCCTCCACCGCCCTCTAGTGTTTAATGTCTAGGGGTAATTTCTGTTTAGATAATTTAGACAGATTGAGGTTTCAAAAGATTCTGAAATCAGGCTAAAAGATGACAAAATTTAGAAAATACAGATATCATATACCAATCAAACAGAAATATATCTTTACTTCCCATGGATTTAGTATTTACACAGAAATTTGCCAGTCTTAAAACTATCAGAGAAAAAAAAAAGACATATAATTTATTACAAATTCCAGCAACTAAATAAATCATTTACCTCCACAGTTATTGCAGTTTTCTGAGTCTTTTTACCAATCAGGTCCACCTGTTCATATGTAGATTTCATGTATTTCTTAGCAACATTAAATACCCAATGAGGGCAAGTTGCAGAAAAGAGCAGTGTCTGGGGATTGTCTTCTGAATCTTTTGGGGGAAAAAAGTTAGTATGAATAACCCAAACAAACCTACAGAGTATTCCACCTCACCCAATTCTTCCTGAGTCTGTTAACACTCTACAGCAACTACTAGGTCAAGCTAGGCACTGAAACACAAAAATGAAAAACAGAGGTCCCCAAAAGGCAAAGAAATACTGCCTAAATAATTTATGTAAAAGACCCTTAAAACAGCAAAAGCTTTAAACTTACTTTGTTTTCTGACCATTGGCCTTTATGAACCACAAGGGAAATCTGTCCATTATAACAAATCCTACCAAGTGGAAAACACCAATTCATTCCACTTTCATATACTTCAAATGGCCGTATAAGCTGGTAGAGCCCGTTTAGGGAGCAACTTGACAATGTATATTGAGGAGTATGAACCTTTCAACTCAGTAGTTTCTTTTCTGAAAATCTATCCTAAAGAACTAATTCCAAATACGGTGGTATGAAAGGAAGCTATATGCACAGTAATGTCTCTGCCTGTGAGCAGAATTATTTATATTACTTAAAAATTGAAACATTTAGGTGGAATTAAATCACGGCACAACCACTTCATGGACTATTATGCCAAGTTTTAATATGCTCAGTAAAGTTACGTTAATACACACACATATTTACACACAATAGCACAAAGCCAGGAAGAAATATACAAAAGTCAAGTACACCAAACTGGTAGGTATGAAATTTTCCTCTTTCTCACATTTCCCACATTTGTGATAAATCATGATTTATTTTTAATTCAAGTTTTCCTGAATAAAATAAGTCACTTCCCAACAATCTAAAGCTTCGTTTACCCCTTAGAAAACTACTTAATCACCACCCTTCTGATCCCTTTTATCAATTCCCTGAACTTGGGAGTTTACCTTTCTTGTATGCCACACTTAAAATCTCTTCCACTTGGTCAGCAAACCCCATATCCAACATCTGGTCAACTTCATCCAAGACAACATGCTTAAGTTTGGTGAGATCTAGCTTGCCATTCTGCAGGTGGTCTTTGATACGACCTGGCGTCCCAACCAGGATGTCAATCCCATTCCGCATACGTTCAACTATAAAGAACACAATGATAAGATATGCTGCGTTTTTAAGTCCTTTATAGGCTGGGTACCAATTAAAAAATTTTATTCTAAAATATTCTAAACTACAAGATAATATGCTATGCTTTGAAGAGAAAGATACCGAGATACTCCTTAATCTAGTGGGAAAAACCTGTAAGAAGTGACAGTCCAGTGCATTATGTGACATAACAGAAAAATGTGCCAGTGGGGGATGGTAGCAGCAGGAAAGAAACAATTTCCTTAGCTCGTGCAAGGTATCAAGGTTCTCTCAAAGTGAGAGTAAGAATTTTTTGTTGTTAAGATTTTATTTATTTTTAGAGAGAGGACGGGAGGTAGTGAGAGAGGGAGAGAAACAGCAACGTTGGAGAGACACATTAACTGGTTGCCTCTTGCACGCCCCCAACTGGGGACCTGGCCCGCAACCCAGGCATGCGCCCTGCCAGGGAATCAACCGGTAACCTCTTGGTTCACAGGCCAGCGCTCAGTCCACTGAGCCACAGCAGCCAGAGCAGGAAGCTTAAAGCCAAAGAAACTTTTTATGAGGTTAAAATTTAGGGAGGATGAGACAAGCTAGAAGGGTAAGTATTTCAAGAAGATATAGAGACATTAAGGGAAAAAAGGAGTTCAATATAACTGGGAGGAGATGGTAATAATGCAGCTTTTTATGGAGCTGCTGCTGCAGTCTAGGGATCTAGGCACTCTACACACATCACCCAATTCAATCCTC